CTTCTGTGAATTATACATCTTCCCTGACTTTTCCCCCTAGCCTGGTGGCTAGGGGAATTTGGAAGTGGAAAGTTACCAGAAAAAGTAACTTTCCACACTTAAGTAATTCACCACACATGCCCTCTTGCTCACTGCTATATACTTTTTCCTCACTTTAAATTTCCTAATTTAAAGAATACAGCTTCTTTAAAATAAACAGTGGGAAAACAAACAAAGAGAAGATGAGTTAAGTTCTGCTAAGATCCAGAGGCCAAAAAGGGAGTGAAAAAAAGAAAAAGTATTTTTTTTCCAGCTGACTTTCTCAGGCTGCAAACAATACATCAAAGGCACTACCTTTTGTCTGGAATTTAAATGAGGGTTCATTCTCTCACTGATGGTATCTTTCCATTGTAAACATTGCATGCTTAGTGGACAGTCTTCGGGCCAAACAAAAACCCACTGACACGAATATTCATTCTTCTTTGCAGGAAGCTGTTAGCCATCACTCATAACTTCTTGTGCAGAATGCCCAATTCTCTTATTGAAGGTTTACATTTAGGTGGTCCTGGAAGCGATATGCACGTTATGCTTTCTCACAAAGGAGAAGGTTGTGTTTTGAGCAGAGCCTTGAAATGTTGCTTTTTGGGCTACAGTTTCCAGAGTACCCAAGCAAGATTGTCAGTGGTCATACTGCCCACTGGGAGGTTATGAGAGTTGTAGTTGAAAAAAAATGGTTCTCTTCCAAGCTCTGCTTCTCAGGAAGCCCCAAATGCTGGGGCATAAGAGCAAGGTTTTTGGACTGCAACTAGCAGAATACTCAAAGGCATCTCCTCATAGAGCTCAGTGGAAGTCTTTGGATTCCCAACCCCAGAAACCATTGAATGAGTGACTGTAGTATTTTTTTGTTGTTGTTGCAATCAATCATTGCTTACCATGGAAAGCCCATTAATTCTTGGGTCCTCGTGTTAGGAGAAAGGATGGAGGGATATGCAAACAAGCAAACACACACTCTGTAGTGCATCTTGGTAGCCTTGGTCCTCCCGAAGGTCATACATCACAGCTATTCTGTTGGCATCTCACATCTGGGCCTTGGAGCCTGTACGTTTCATGGATCTCACAGCTGGAACCTCAATAGACTTCTCATCTGGCTAGGAACAACTCATTGTCCTGGTATTGTATGTATACCTATCCAAGGACCATTGAGGGAGCAACATTAATGTACTTCATTAAATCTTGTGTTGATTCCCTTTGGTCCAATGCTCGACAGAGCTGTGTACATAGTCTGTACAGTTAGTGAATTGGGAACATAGGAAGATACACATAGGGTGCCTAGTATGAATGAAAACACTGGTCTTTCTAGCCTGGTTTTGTCACTTCTGACTGCATTGGCTTCTCAGCACTCTAGGCAGGACTTTTGAAAAGTAGCCCTATGTGGAAACCCTAGGTATGCTCTGGTCATCTCCCATCCAAGTACTAACCAGGCTCTACTGCAGTAGATATATATGCTCTGTCCACAGTATATTGGTGGACAGCCTGATGAAAACTGTTTTAGCTAGTGAATCGTTTAATTTTTTAGTGGTCTAGTAAAGATGTCCCCTGCCCTTGTATTGTGTAAGGGCCACTTGGCTTTGTTTCTTTCCAATACACTGATAATACACTGATAATACAGTGTATCGCCCCATCACCTTAAAGCACTCTAGGCAGTTTACAATTTTATTATGCAGGCTATATATCCCCCCTCCCGCAAACTGGGTACTTTAAAAAGGTAATTTCCTCTAATTGCTCATATATTTAAAGAATACCCAGCTTCTGGGGTGAGGAGCTTGCATAATTAAATTGTAAACCACTCAGAGAGTGTTTTAAGTGCTATGGGGTGGTTTATAAGCAGCATGCTTTCCTTTAAAAAAAAAAAAAGGGGGTAGGTAGATGTTGCTACTTGTAGAATGTTGAAAAAAAAGGATAGGTAGATGTTGCTACTTGTAGAATGTTGGAAAATGGGTTCTTTAGTGGACTAGTGCTCTTGGTTTGTTTTTGTTGTTGTGGAACAATTCCATAGTATTAATGAGGGAATGGCATAAAATTTGTGGGAGGGGCCTATAAAATTCCCTAGAAATGTTCTTGAAATGTAACTTTGAAAAGTGACAAGAAAACAGTGCTCGTAAACCAATTAAGGCATTATTTCTAAATGTTAACATCCTCTTTGAGATGTAATTAGGCTACGCCTTTGTTACAGGTAGCTCATAACTCATTCCTTCCAAGCACTGATCAGAGCCAGCACATATGCTCTCCTTTCTTCCTTCTGCTTGTCCTTTTCCCCAGTGTGTTTTTTACAGGACTTAATGATGATTATTTTAAGAAGCTACTTAGAGTATATTTTAAATTGAATATTATTAGTAGTTTGGATTCAATAGGCATTTAAGCAATAAACATTGTAAGCAGCATATTAAATGCCAAGTTGTTTTGGGAACATTTGAATCACACCAGCCAAAACCAAAAGAACCTTTTAAGTAAAATGAGAAAATGTTCCCTGTAAAGTAAGCTACCACATCTTGAAGAATGATTAACTAAAAAAAAAACCCAAACAAATAAAAATCCACTTACTTTCCTTCCTTCTTCTAAAAAATAATGATGAGCATCCAACCTTCCATTCAAAACTAAAGGTGGTGAACTTGGATTCATCTTAGAAATGGCCTGAAATACCTATTTGATGGTGTCGCAAACCAAGTCAGTTATGTGTTGGTTATTTTCGTGTTGGCTTTCTTCAGTTCAAAACAGATGGCAAGAAAAGGAGGTTTAGTCCACCTCTGGTGGGTTGCATTCCCTTTGATGGGTCACAGGTTATACAGGCTTCATCTGAATGGATAGTGATTGGCTGAATTGCTCTGATATAGAGCTCCATGCAGCAGACAATAATTGACAAATCCTACAGGAGGACCAGGCAGGCAAGAAGGGTTTAAAGAAAGTACCGCCAGAGGCCAAGGAAAGCAGTGAGTGTTATAAGACAAACAAGGAATCAGGGTGGGGTTTCTGAAAAGAGGGTTGGGAAAGAGGAATAATAGCAAGAAAGCGTTGTGCAGAAGGGAGAGTCTGAATGAGGAAAGTAAACCTGGGGACTATAGGCAGAGGCAAGAGATACAGCACCCAGGAAGGTTGAATTTTGCATATTGGTTTTCAAATAATTAGGCAAAACTTTGACTAGTTGTCTGCAATCTCTTCCAAAATGGGTTTGTTCTTAACAATGGACTCCTATATATTTGGTTCCATTCATGATTACCTTGTAGCATTTCAGCCATGCTGGCTGATAATACCATATTTTTGCTGTGTATAAGATGATATTTTTGTCTAAAATCTTTAGATAAAAAATTGAGGGTCGTCTTATACACAGAAGTAAGGAAGGGGGAGGGATCAAAGCACTTTGATCCCTGCTTTCCCCCTCCACTTTTTGCAAAGAAAGTGGAGGGGGAAAGCACTTTCCTTGCAAGAAAGTGGAGGAGGAAAGCACAAATCATCAAAGTGCTTTGATTCTTGCTTTCCCCCTCCATTTTCCTTGCAAAAAGTGCAAGAAAGTGGAGGGGGAAAGAAAGTGGAGGGGGGAAAGCAGGAATCATTAAAGTGCTTTGATGATTTCTAGTTTCCCCCTCCAGTTTCTTTCACCCTCTACTTTCTTGCACTTTTTTTGCAAGAAAACTGCTTTCCCCCTCCACTTTCTTGCAAAGCACTTTACTTGTAAGAAAGTGGAGGGGGGAAGCAGGAATCATCAAAGTACTTTGATGATCCCTGCCTTCCCCCTCCACTTTCTTGCAAAGAAAGAAATTTTGGGTTAGAAAAGTGGAGGGGCGTTTTATACACGGAAAAATACGGTAACTTTTCCAAAATCTGCCCAGTATTCCCATCCATTCTAGCCAGCGGTGAAGTGTGATGGGACTCACAGTCCAGTAACAGTCCAGGGGGCTGCATATTCCCATTCCTCAAGGCTTTGAACAGACAGCCAGAAATAGTGGAAGTGGGGAAAGCTATCTGCCTCTGATTTGAGAAGTTAAATCCTAATTGCAACAAGCCAAGTGTGGGTTGGAAGCAGACAGACAGAGGGCTGGCACAGAGGAACTGAAGGGCATGGAGCAGTAAAAGATTCTGACCAATAAGGGCACTTATGACAACCATGGTGGTGGAGAAAGGGAGGCCCTTGAGTTTGGTTGCTGGAGTTCCTGATCCACACTCCTCAGCACCTTATTGTAGAAGGGGCCAGCTCAAGACATTTTCCTGCCTGAGGGCACAGGGGAGTGCCCTCTCCATTTACAAAAGCCAACTAGGCTGGTAATTAAATGTTTTCTTCAGCACCACCCATGGGACTGAATTTTCTGCACTGAAAAGCAGCAGCTTAAGGAGGCCATGTGGCACATCAGTCATGCAGCACACACACAAATAGGCCATTATAACAGAAAACAGCTCCCTCGTTCTGCCTAATGGTAGGACCAGTCCTGACTGTATCCATATTGAATAGGTAAAGCTAGCTACAAAGAAGAATTTAAGTGGCTCTTCTAATTTTTCATGGGGTTTATTAGGCTTGAAGTCCCAGTGAAGTTTTGGAACACTCCAATACCTGGGAATTGTGGTAGGGCGAGGAGTGGAATCAGCAGACATGAATCATTCGATCTTTCCATGTGACTAGACTGCTGGGATAGAAGGTAGTTACATGCAATTTCAAGAGGCTTGTGAAAAAGTTCCTAGTGGATTATTCCCCAAGTACTGTATTTTTTTTTTCTTTTAAAGAAATAAATTCCATTTTCCTAGCTCCTTTAAATTTGACTTTTGTCCCAAAGATTTGCCATTTACCATTAGTAAAACCAATGCTATCTGTTTTCTACTGTCTACTCCCCCACCCAGTCAAAACTTGCAGTATGCTATTACTTATTTTTCTGGATTCAAATCCTAATTTCCTAACATGCCGTTCACATACAGCAGCATCTTTATGTGACGGAAACAAAAATCAGCCTAAATAGCTCTATTTTTGTGAATTTCAGGACCGCCTCTTTTTCGTCATGGAATATGTCAATGGAGGGGACCTAATGTTTCAGATTCAACGCTCACGCAAATTTGACGAGCCTCGCTCCCGCTTCTATGCAGCAGAAGTCACATCTGCTCTCATGTTTCTCCACCAACATGGTGTCATCTACAGGTACTTTCTTTGCAGGGCTGAAAATAAAAAATTCTTGAAGCTCTTTGCTTAACATTGGCTGTAGTCCAGTGTCTCTTAGCAACTGGGGTGACTGTTTGTTTCTGCTTGCTTACATAGACTGTTTACCCCCCCCCTTGCTTTTTTATGAGGCGAAGGGGGGGGAGACTATTTATCATTCCGAATGTTAACATCTGAATCGTCCTTGCAGCCATCGCCAGCTGTGGGTGCCAGTTTTGTATTATAAGACAAGTAAAGCTTTTTTAAAAAGCTTGGCACATAGCGACCCAGAGATGACTGTGATTGCAGAGCAGTGTATTCTCTTTAGATTTCTCCCTCTGCCATAGATTTCCTCAATTTTTGAACTCCCTGCCACTTCCTGACTTTGTTTGTCTTAGTTGTCTCCAGTCTGATAGAGCTGGAATAATCATTATGTATGGCTTTGCGTATGATGCCCTTTCCTCTTGATTATGAGGACGAAGACTCAGCCACTAACAGGAAGCACCTCTTTGTAGACAACTTGAATTTGCTCCTTGCCCCCCCCATCATCATCTACACAATAACAAAAGCTAAACAGCTAATCTTTCCTTGCAGAGTGAAGAATGTGCTCAGGCATAAATATTTATTATTAGAAACAAGGAGCTGCTTGAGAATTTTTCACCTACTATCTTTGTGTTTATTAAGGCCTTTATCTTGTCGTTTCACCCTTCCTCCCCTTTTTCCCTTTAAAGAAACCACACCAAATTTGGCAGCTTTTTACTGCTTCAGATAAATCTTAGCAGGGCACATCCAGAATGAGCTACACTCAGAGAAGTTGGCTGTAGAACCATCTCACTTTCATGAATTATTCGAAGGGTGCAGTCCACAAAGCACAATTCACATTTTGCATGGCAAAGGGGATACACCAGTGACTGGACTAGCAAGCACCAAAAAAGCAGGAGGAAAAAGGTGTGTTAATAAGCCCATGGGGACATGCCATGAATTCAGCTTCTCAGTTATGTCCATTGAATGTGTACAAACTTTCTTTTCCACTCTGCACTTCATAGTGCTTGCCCTTTAAATCCTAGTGTGTATTAGGGCCACTCTGTACCCACCTCTGTATCTTTGTTGAATCATCAACCCCCAACCCAATAAAGAAGGATCAAAATTTTTAAAAGGCTGCAACGGATCTGCAGAATGGGGGTGTCCTCTTTTAACTTTTTAAAAAAGGCAATTTTAGAAGTCTGAGATCACCCTGATACCTCATCAAATAATATCCCCCCCGGAAGACTCTCTCCCACCCAAATGTCCTTCCTCTGCCCTTTGAAAAATATCCTCTTCTTGCCCTTCACCAGAAGAGTCACCAAATGTTATACTTGTGAACATGGGGCTCATCCCTAATACATTGGTAGCAAATTCACTGCAATGAACGGAAAGTGCAGGTATCCTGGGGATGCTGTTCGGAAATGGAAAAGCCATGTTGGACACACAGAACCTGTGTCCCAATTTTCTACACCATGGCCAGAAGCATCCATAAGAGTATTGTGCAGTAGAGCTGTGCAGAGTTGTGCTTTTGGACTAAAATGCCCACAATTCCCCAGGCAGGAAGGGGGACATGATACAGTAGTGGAGTACAGACTTTGCATACAAAACATCTTGGGTTAAATCCCCACCCTCTGCAGGGATGAGGCAGCAGGCAGTAGAAAAGACCTTTCTACAGAAAACCCACCTACACAGACCGGGTAGTGGAGTACAGACTTTGCATACAAAACATCTTGGGTTAAATCCCCACCCTCTGCAGGGATGAGGCAGCAGGCAGTAGAAAAGACCTTTCTACAGAAAAGCCACCCACACAGACCGGTACCAACACAAAAACTCCAAACACCACCCACAACAAAAAAGAGGCATAATCAAAACACTGGTAGACTGTGCAAATCGGAACTGTAAAGCTCAATTTCTCAGCACCAAACTCAACCATCTGAATTGGGCCCTACAGGCAATGGCTATTCTAAGAATGAAATCACAAGAGCCATCAAACCAAGAAAACAACACCAAACTGATGAGGAAAAACAGCAACCCACAAATAAAGTATTTCTGCCATACATCAAAGGACTCACGGACCACATGGGAAAACTTGAAAAAAGACAACCTACAAACAGTATTCAGGCCCACCACAAAAATACAACAAATGTTATGGTCAACAAAGGACAAAAGGTACCCCCTCACCACTGCAAAAGTATATTGGATACCTTGCACTTGTGGCCAGGTATATATTGGAACCATAAAATGAAGCATCCACACCAGAATCAAAGAACATAAGAGACACTGCAGACTAATACAACCGGAAAAATCAACAGTAGCTGAACATGCCCTAAAACAAGCGGGACGTGAAATTCTATTTCAAAATACTGAAGTACTGGACAACACGAGCAATCATTATGTTAGACTGCACAGGGAAGCTATTGAAATCCACAAACACCAGCAGAGCTTCAACAAAAAAAGAAGAAAGTCTAAAACTCAACAAAACACTGTCAATCACAGTGACAGATCATCTCTCCCCCTTATCACAACAATACACCCACAATAAAAAAAACATACTGATCACCATAATCACCCTATCTCCTGAAAAGGACAAAAGCTGATCCCACAGCTATAAATGCCCAACTATCCAACAAACTGCACCAGAGCATGGGCAGAATTCTGACTCCTGTCCTCTGAAGATGCCGGTCACAGAGACTGGCAGAACATTAGAAAGAAAAACCTAAGAACACGCGGACAACCCACAACAACTGTCTTTTCCTGAGACTTTGGAAGCCTGCTGACAAAGTAGATGACTCTACCCAGACAAATTGTTTGCTCTTCCTTATAACTTATGAGACATATGATATCACTCTTCAAATACGTGGAGTTTATCATACAGAAGAGGGTCAGAGTCTATTCTCAATCATTCCAGAGTGCAGGACATATAATAATGGGCCCAGGTTACATGAAGCCAAATTTTGGGTGAAAATCAGGAAGAACTTCATAACCAACATTGGAACCAATTACCTCAGGAAGTGGTGAGTTCTCTGACACTGGGGGCGTTTAAGGGAAATTGGACAACTGTTAGATCTCTTTGATTTGGACTCCTGCATTGAGCCAGAAGTATTCAAGAGGAAGTTAGATAGCCATCTGTCAGATATACTTTAACTCAGATTCCTGCCTTGTGCAAAGGGGTGGATTCAATGGCCTTATAGGCTCCTTCCAGTGTGATGGTTCTGTGGTTATGTTAGTCGTGATTCTGAGTGGTGGAGAAGTCAGACTGTTGAAGACAGGTGAGCAGAACATCAAGTGGCAAGTGAGGGACAAGATAAGAACAGCAATTATCTTGTTAATGGTGTCCTTAGAGACTTGAAAGGATACCACAAAACTTTAAAATGTACTGAGGGGTGTCATATTCCAGACTTTGGGACTATTGCAGTTTAATAATTGGTGGACCTAAAATGCATCCACTGAAATAGTGGATGCTACCATATCTGGTTGCAGGTGAAAGGTTGCATGACTGAATGCTGTTCTGTATTTAGAACAAAATACATTTTAATGCTGTACCAAAAAAAGCAGCAGCAACAGGGAAACACTTGTCACTTGTCCTTTTGTGTGAGATTCTAATTCTGTATACAAGGGCAGCTTGTACATGCACAGTGGACCACTGGAAACTTGATGGACCTGTTTCTGCTATCTGCTTGGTCCTGCAAAATTATCAGACAACTGGCACGGGTGATGGGTGCATTAGGTTTGACGGTTCACAGATTTCCTGTGCAGTTGAGGCCTTCTCATGTGAGTAATTATTCCTTTTTATATGCCCAGCTTTATCCTCATTTTACCCCAGGTTCAAAAAGGCCACTCCTCTATGGCTCAGGAGAAGGGCTCCGCCTTTGGAGTTCATGTCCTCTTTGGGCTGGCACAGTCGGTCCCGGGACTTATTTACAGGCTCGTTTTAGCTGAAATATGTTTGAATGCAAGTGGCCTTATCTGATCCCGGTGGTTGCAGTGAAAGCAAAAATCACATTCTTAGTTCACATAAATATTTTAATAGAAAGATACATTGTTATATCAAAGTCCATCCTGTCCCAATGCCTTTTGATTTTTTTTTGTCATGCCTTTAGAGACCTTCTATTATTATATTATAATCTTAAAATACTACACTCTGTTGGCTTAATCCAGTGCCTTCCATAATTGTAGTTTTAGAAGAGGTAGCCATGTTGGTCTGGGCTAGCATCTCGGGCAAAAAAATTAAAATAAAATAAAGGAGACAAAAACGTTGTGACACCTTAAAGGCTAAATGCTATATTTCAGTGTGAGCTTTCGTAGACAAGCCAACTTCCTCAGACATAAAAAGAAATAGTACAGTACATCTACAGAATACTACAGTACAGTTACAGAAGGAGCAAATTGAACCTTTTATGGTACCTACTATCACATGATAGAGATGTAAGTGTAGATATAAACTTTCCCAATTTCTATACTCTGATTGTTCTGGTTATTATGTTCCTCCTCATTTCCAGTAAGAATGGCATTTTCAGTATAAACCATGGAGTTGTATTACAGTTTTATCTATGCTAATACTTCTCATGACTTACTTTAAGCCAGAGTTCAAAACTAGGATCTGACGATCATATACAAATCCTGGAAAAGGTAGTCATGATTAGTATTAAATATGATGACGTTATAACTCTATAGCAGTAAACTGGTGCAAATGCAAAGGAGATAACATTCAGTAAGGAGTGAAAAGGAATCCATGGGCAAGACCAGGGCAAATTTTTCATCTCCACTGGGCCATAGTTTCTGGGAGCATATAGCATCGAATACATAGGATTTCACTTTTAATCTCGTATCTCTCAATCCTTCCTCTCCCTTACCCCCAAACAGCATGGGATACTATTAAAGCCCTTGGGTCTGCTTCAAAGACAAAATAACTTTAAGGAGGCAGTCTTTTTAAAATATAAAATGCATAATGAATAAATAGAAATCCAAACATTTTAGAA